ATATATTTTTAAAATGATATTAAAAATACTGTATTCTGTTAAATAGGCAAATTAAGAGTTGTATGCCATTTTGATGATTAATTACATGGTCTTTATCCTGAAGCTTAATCAAATTAATTGTATTTTAAGTTCTTGCTTATTAAAAAAACCGCATAAGCCCTGGCCAGTGTGTCTCAGTTGGTTGGAGTGTGGTCCTGTGCACTGAAGGGCCATGGGTTTGATTCCCAGTCAGGGCACATACCCAGGTTTCAGGTTCCATCCCCAGTCAGGATTCATGTGGGAGGCAACCAATCAATGTTTCTCTTTCTCTCTCTCTCCCTCTCCCATCCTCTCTCTCTATAATCAATGAAAAACATGTCCTTGGATGAGAATTTTAAAAAATGAAAATAAATAAATAGATAGATAAAATTGAGTACTTGTAAATACTATTTTCTAGAGAAAAAGGATAATTCTGTTAGACCTAATGGTTCCTATTAAAACAGTTTTTTATTAAAGGTAGGGTTTTATACACACAGAAAAGGGTAAATATAGAAAAAAAGAACACATGCTGTTTTATGTTTGGTTTCAGTAGATTTGAAACTTCTTTCTTTTTATATGCAAATGTCTTTATTTCAAGTCAAGAGATCTAATTTTAAAGAATCACTTGTCAGCAGGCATCTGTGCATTTTATCACATGCAAATTTTATATACTAGTATTGCTGAGTATAATCGGCTTACAGAAATACAGTTTGGGTTTTGCTAATAGAGATAAAGACTAAGTATATTTCATAAAATATATTTCAGGGTAGGCTTAGAATCTATTTTAAATGATCATAGCAATAGAAAATTCAGTTGCATCACTTACAGCAGGCTTGGGTAATGAAATTGATCATAATGCTGAAGCCTGCACATAAGCTTATTTCTTCCAGTTTTGAATACTTGCTTTATCAACACGAGGAAATGAACTCTTCCATATTTAAATGTTTAATATTGCATAAGTAAGAACTTTTTTTAGCAAATGAGTGGAGAGCTCTGAAAAAAATTATTCTTAGCTGATTGCAGAGGATAAAAAGCAAGCTACATGCATGTAGATGAAGGAAGCCTCTACCTTTCGTGTAGCTAATTTGCTTATCACTTTTTTGTCAATGTTTTAGAATTACCTCCAGAAGCTAGTTGTAGCTATGGAAGTAGACCCCATTTCTGTGAATTGTTAAACAGGAACTATGGAGGGAGAAGTAATTGTAAATACTATTTACAATTTTGGTATCCCTAACCAAAGCCATTTTGGTACCCCTTTTGTAATGATTTAGATGTTAGGGCAATAAACTTTTCAAGCTGAAAGAAAACCTCAGAGACCAGTAGCCAAGCCTTACATTTTCTGTATGAAGAAACCAATCCAGTGCAGCCAAGCTAACCAGTAGTTTGATTTAAGCTATTTAACTGCAGAACTAAGACTAGAACTTCTCTTTTCCGATTCCCAATGGAAAATGTTCTCAGAATACTTCCTTTAGAGAAATTCTATTAGAAAAATATAAAATTATGGGCACATTAAGTATGCAAAAACTCCAAAAGACTATTAAAGAAGTAATCAAATATAAGCTTTCATAAATTTGACTAATATTGATATACTAGTAAAAATGAATGATTTAATTATTTGGTTTTATTATTGATTTATTCATTTATTTTTGCATTCTGATGAAGGCTTTAAACAATTTTTTAAATTTATATTATTATTGATTTCAGAGAGGAAGGGAGAGGGGCAGAGAGAGATAGAAACATCAATGATGAGAGAGAATCATTGACCAGCTGTCTTCTGCACGCCCCCTATTGGTGATCTAGGCCACAACCCAGGCATGTGCCCTTGACTGAATCAAACCGGAACCTCCTGGTTCATAGGTGACACTCAACCACTGAGCCATACTGGCTGGGCTGATAAAAGCTTTTTGAGACTTATTTAGATGGTTCAGGTAGTTTTCATAAAGCTGTGAGGGGAATTTTATGTGTTGCCTTTTATTCACTCAGCTTAGCATAAGGTTTCCAAACCATACCTTCATTACTTAGGTTAGAATGTTTAAAAATAGCTATTGTGGTATCTAAGGAATTGAAATTTTGAAGAATTTTTAGTTGCAAGCATTAGACCTTGCTAATCAGTGTGTTCCATAAATCAACAGCATCAGAATCATGGGGGAATTTGTTAGAAATGCGGAATCTTGGCTTTCCCTCCCCCACACCTGGACCTACTGAGCCCAAATCTGTATGAACGAGATCCCAGGTGATTCTGATGCACATTAGTGTTTGAGAAACACTTAGACCAGTGGCCCTCAACCTTGGCTGCACATTAGAATCACCTGGGAACCTTTTTAAAATCCTGATTTCTGGGCCTCATCCTCCAGAAATTCTGTTTCTTTGTTGCTAATGTTGTGGCCCCACCCCATAACAAAGAAACAGAATTTCCGGAGGATGAGGCCCAGAAATCAGGATTTTAAAAAGATTCCCAGGTGATTCTAATGTGCAGCCAAGGTTGAGAACCACTGATCTATCAGATCTACATGCTTTTTTCCTCTCCTGGCTACCCCCAGTCATTATTTACATTGGTCCCTGCTCCCAAAGCCAAGGTTGCATAACTACATTGAGAAATGGAGTACAGGAGTTAATTGTATAGTGTTGAATTTACAGAGGATAAGCCACAAAGCATCAAAAGCAGGAACTGTCTGTTCCAGTTAAGGACAGACGAGCAAAGGATTTGTTGCTGGTTATATAACCTGGGAGCCACAGTGAATAACAGGCATTGTGAGGCAGAGGAGGAATGGTTGTGATGAAAAGCAAAGTAAAATACCTAAATGCAGGGCTCCATATGCAAAGACGACTCTGGTGAGTTTCTCTCCTGGTAATTGAGTGATTAAAAGTCTAGTGTAGTGATTAAGAGCTCAGACTCTGAGCTAACAATTCTCTTGGTTCAAATCCCAAATAATTTACTTCTTAGCTTATGACTGTGGGCAAATTACTTAACCTTTCTAACCTCTTCATCTGAAAATATAAAAAAGAAAACAATAGAACATACCTCATAGGGTTACTGTAAAGAAAAAATGCAGAAATCCTTGTAAAACTACTTAGCACAGTGTCTGAAACAGTAAATACTCATTAAGTGTTAGGATGTTTTTATTTGTGTGTTTGTTCATTGACTCATTTATTAATTAAGATTCTTCTCATCAGCTTCCCATGTGCACAGTAGATTATTTTAGGTGGATTTTCTGGGATTTGATTATGGTCTGTGGCCATGGCGAAGAGCTGCAGCTTTAACCAAAGGAAATTCTCTACAGCTAGAGTGGGTGTCTGTTGATCACCTCTGAGATCATGAGTTCTATGCTGGGTGTGATGGTGGTGGTGGTGGTAGGGAGTCTAATGAAAGAAAATGAGGAATATCATGAGGCACTTAGAGTGAGTTGCAGGAGATGAGATATACACGTACATGGAAGAAAACCTCAAAAGATGTTTCCAAAGCAGCATGTTCATAAGTTGAAAATTATACCGTAGAAATTAGCATGTTTGGAGTACTTGAAAGGCAACCACCAATATTGGTCATTAACACCTTTTATTTTCTTTGGTGTCTTCTACAAAGAAGGAAGAAAATGGGAGAGAAGAGATCTATTAGACAAAACTGTAGTTTGACATGCACTAAATATTTATTCTAATCTTTTTTTTTTAAGCATTGATACTTTCGAATGTTGATTTAGAAGCTGACTAAACCCTAGAAGGCAGAATGTGAATGTGTTGATATTGATACGGTTAAAATAGGTGCCAGCCTCACCCCTCACTGTGGTTATGTGAACAGAGTGCAGGCAAGAGGGCGAAGTGAGGAAGGGTGCTAATCAAATAGTGTTCTATAACCACCATCCCATTTTACGTTACCTCTTTTTAATACTTTTAAAGGACTTAAGGCTTTAGAGAAAATAGGAAAGGAGATGAAGTTGAGAAATGTTCAACCAAAGAGCTGTAAATCAGGGGAAACATTATAAAGCTTGATGTATTATCTATCTTGAGGAATTTAGGAAGGAAAGGTGGCTTAGAAAAATGGTTTAGAAATAGGCTTGTGGAAAACAATGTTGGTTCCTTGTCCTCTATTCCCTAGGGTGCCTGCTGCTCTCTGCATGTCCAGAGCAGTTTTAGAAAGATGCTTCTGTCTTCAGGTCTGGAAGAGGTGGGCAAGGAAGGGACAGATTTGGGCTGGGGAGAGCGGAGAATGGGTAGAGTTGGTAGTGGAAAGGCTGGACGGGGGTAGGAGCGGGGGGATAAAAAGACCATGGACTAAGACCATGGCAGTAGGGTGAGAGAGTTTTCAAAGTCACTTGTGAAATTGTCTTATCATGGACATCTTTAAAATGGAGAGAGGGGAAAAAAAAAACAACAGAACACTTCAGGAATAAATACCCAGGGCCATCTCTAATTTAGAAACAAGTAAAAATCAGCATCCATCGAGAGATGGTGAAACATCATGCGAGGGTCACTCAGGGCCTTGCTGACACTTTAAGCCTGAGATCCCCTTCGGATGTTTGCTTCCCAGTCTCTGGTCCTCCATCTAACCTGATTTTCTCTTTGCTTCTTTCCACAGTGCCCGTGTATCCCAAGTCAGCAGCGTTTCAACCACAGGAGAGTAAGTTACTGGAATTGGGTGCTCCCCCACTCACCCCACCCCACCCCACTTACCTCTTATTAAACAGGAAAAAAGGAAATTCTAATGTGGGATAGTATTGGAAGATTAATACAATAAGCAAGCAAATGATTTTGAAAACTACACAGAGGAGCACTGAGTAACAAGTGTTCCTATTTGAGCTTCTGTGTGGATATGTGACTAGAGACAGCTCTACCATGACAACGAATGAGATTTATATTTATTTCAGTCTAAATAACGTCAAGTCAATATTTGCAAAGCAATCAGTTTGCTTTGAGAGGTATCTTGCAACAGTGGATGCCAGTAAAGGTTAAGATATTAACCATGCCTTTACTTCTTCCTTCGTTAATTTTAGTCAGCCTACATTTATTGCGGGCCTGCAATATGCCAAGCACAGTGTTAGGTGTGTAATGCCAAACGAGCCCTGGGATCAGCCTCCTAGGGACATAGAAAATAAAGCAAATTAGTGAAAACACGTCCTTTTCCACAGGACAGCAGCAGTGCCCTGTTAATTTTGCCCACCGCATGTCTTTTTCCTCCTAAGGCTACCAATTGCATTTAACTGAAATCTAAACTCCTGTTATCTGCCCTTGCCTACATGTCCAGCTACATTGTTCATTATGCTTCAAGCACATGACCTTCTGTTTCTGGAATGGACCAAGCATATAGCTGCCTCAGAGCCCTTGCACTGGCTGTTCCTCAGCCTGGCCATGCACTTCTTATCATTCACCTCTTTGTTCAAATGTCACCTTATTCAAGAAGTCATCCCTGACGACCCATAGTCACTCTCCAACCCTGTCCTCTATTGAAGAAGACTCATCACTATTTGAAATTTCATGATCTATTTATTATCTGTATTACCTCATAGACAGATGGAATATATATATATATATATTCTGTCATATTCGTGGCTGTATTCCTAACACCTGGAAAGATGCCTGGCATATGTTAATCACTAAATATTTGTAAATAGTCCCTTGCCCAAAGATTTTCCATTGCACCCACCTCTTTCTTCCTTGCTGGCACATGGGTGGGCCTTTTTGGAGCATCTTCCATCAGCAGGGATCAGGTGGAGGAAGATGTGATGTGATAAGGAGGGAGAGAGAAGAATTAGAAGTATTAATTGGTATGAATTTAGATTTAATAGGATGAATTTGGATTTTTTTTCTTTTTTGTTAGGTAAGAGGGCAATTAAATCAAAGGGCAGGATTAACCTCTCTTACCTTTGTGAAGTCTAAAGAGATTCCAGAATTATCCTAAAATTGACATTTTCTTGCCTTTTTGTTTCCTGATAACCTTTACTTTTTTGTATGTCTTGTATAGTTTGGAAAGGTGTGGGGTTGGTCTATATGTATATTCAGGGTGTCCCAAAAAACTGTATACACACTTTAACAGATGATCACTCAATTTTGAAAATGAAATGTATTTTGATAAACCTTTATAATTATTCAAAGTGTGTGTATTCATTTTTCTGGGACACCCTATATTAATGTACTCACATTCCTATGTACTGCTATTAGGTAATCTTGAATCATTGGGAAGTGGAGTTCTAAATATAAAAATTCTGATGCCCAAATTAGACTATACTTGCTCATTGTCTTCAAATAGTATTAAAGAAATTTCTATGAGACTATTATAAAATTACTAGAGGCCAGGTGCATGAAATCTGTGCACTGGGGAGTAGTCCCTCAGCCCATCCTGCACCCTCTCCAATCCAGGGACCCCTTAGGGGAAATCTGACTGCCGGTTTAGGCCCAATCCTACAGGCAGTCAGACATCCTTCTCACAATCCAAGACTGTTGGCTCCCAACCGCTCACCTGCCTGCCTGCCTGCCTGATTGCCCCCTAACCACTCCCCTGCCAGCCTGGTCACCCCCAACTGCCCTCCCCTGCTGGCCTGGTCACCCCCAACTGCCCTCCCCTGCTGGCCTGATTGCCCACAACTGCCCTCCCCTGCAGGCCATCTTGTGCCCACCTGGGGGCACCCATCTTGTGCAAGGGTGTGATAGTCAATTTGCATATTACGTCTTTATTATATAGGATACTTGGAAAATCTAAAATTCTTAAAATCCATTTTATTAGAATGAATGTAAAGTTTTCAAAATCCATTAGAATGAATGTATGTCTCAATCTGAACATTCAAAAAATATATATATGGTTCTTTTTAAAAATTTTAACAGCTTTATTGAGATATCATTGATATCCAAACTACACATGTGTAATGTGTACAGTTTGATGAGTTTGGATGTGATTCTTTTTTCAGGTGAAGAAAAACATGTTTTGAGGAGCATAAGTTTAGAATTTTTAATGTCAGCTTACTCAGAATTAGTGTGATGATGAAAAGTTTAGACACATTCAAAGATTATGTAGCTTTAAAAATGATACCTTATCTTATCATGAGCTCTTTTCAGCCCCTGGGCTTCACTATTTTTCTCAGGTTGAACAAAAGAAATCTATTCGATCTTCAGTTATACTGGGGTGTTTGTATGAATACAGCTTCAATTATATATGTCATAATTGATTAGAGATTCAGACAGATTTCGCTGTTCTGTTATGAGTAATAATTGTCATGGTGAGATATTCTTTTTTTGATAGCATTGCTCCCTATATAATTTTACCTTAAAGGAATTTCAAATAAATAATACACATAAAATTATTTGTGCCAGTTTTGTTTTGTAAATCATATTCTCCTCCTCTGCAAAACTGGTATGAAATCTGGAAGAAACTCACCTGTGTAAGAATAGGTCCATTATTATTCTATGAGGAAAAAAATCTTTCCTCATTCTGTCTTATATTAAATGACCCTTATTTCCTGAATGCCTCTGTTGCTAGACTTGCTGTGAGCATTTCAGGAATCCTGAACTCATAAAAAGGAGAGACACAGTTATCAAATTGATGGAATTTATCCTTTTTTTTTAAAATTGATTTCAGAGAGGAGGAAGGTAGAGGGAGAGGGAGTTAGAATCAATGATGAGAGAGAATCGTTGATCGGCTGCCTCCTGCACACCCCACACCAGGGATGGAGCCTGAAACCCGGGCATGTGCCCTGACTGGGAATCAAACCATAACCTCCTGGTTCATAGGTCCAGACTCAGCCACTGAGCCACATGCCACACCAGCTGGGCTGGGCACATATTTATAAAGGCAACTATTGATAAACTTGATTGCTTGAATCACTCTGTATTCTTATTTTTTTTCTTTTCTTTCTTTCTTTTTTTTTACCAGACTCTTAGAAAGAACTATCCGGTCAGCTGTGGAGCAGCATCTTTTTGATGTTAGTAGCTCTGGTGCCCAAAGCTCAGAGGACTCAGAATCTGGAACATCCCTAGCCCCTTCCACCGCATCCGCCAGGCAGCGCCGCCGCCAGTCCAAGGAGCAGGATGAGGTTCGACATGGCAGAGACGTGTGAGTTGGCATTGCTGATTCTTGTTTGTGTTTTCTGTTCTTTTAAAAATAAACACCTGAATTAGTCGCTGTGTCATAGTCATTCCCATTTCAGTATTTACGTTAAAACTTTAAGAAGTTTTTGTTTTGACCCTTCTAAACTTAGCTAACATTTGGGAATTTAGAGGTGGTTGAATAAACATTTCAGTGTAGTCTCCATGTTTGATATGTTGTAGGAAGCCACCTCTATCTAATACATTTCATGGTTTCCTCGCAAATATCTTACTTTAAGGGATTCTGAAGAATTGGAGGAGTAAATTGCTATTTGCCTGTCCAGATGTGGTGTTTTCTTGTTAGATGTTCAGTTGGCTGCTAGATTACCTTATGAACCAACAATTTTTTCTACTATGTTGACCTAATTAAATACTAGAATATCTTTCTCATACTCTGACAGTTGATTATGTTTTAGTATAAGGTTGAGCATAAGTCTAAACTTGAAGTTTTTATTATTATAATGACTAATTTTAAGGCATTCCCACATCATGAATTTCAAGAATAGTATTACAAGGAACTTTATTCTCCATTAATAGGTTTGATAAATACCAATGAACAATCATTGAATAATCATGATTTAAATTGTCAAATAAAATAAATTTGCATATAACTGACTATATTGATATATTTTCCCAAAAGGTTTAATATTTTTATCTACTATAGCACTTGGGCTCTATAAAATTATGTTTTGAACCCATTATTAAATGTCCAAGACTAAACTAAACCCTAGTTCCCATCATTCTTTCTTACCTGGACTCATAAGTTCCATCAAAATATTCATTAATAAAAGAAAAAAAAGTCTTTTTACTTAAAGAAAGACACAGAAGATAAATAGTATCAGTAAATCCCATGCTGCACATCACTTGAAGGCTATGTTAACAACTGTAACTTGAGAATAAAACAATGTCAGTGGTGTAACCCACTGACTTTCCAGGTGACATAAACAGCACTTATTTTCCATTTTTATTGAGTAATAACTGACATACATGACAAGATAAGCATAAAGCATGATGGTTTGATTTATATATATTGTGAAATAATACCACAGAAATTTTAGCTAATCACTTTTTTTAAAAAAGCCTTTATTCGAGCTTATGGGGGGGGGCGGTACTGTAGTATTCCCTTTAGAGAATAGAAAAATTATGATACCGGAGATACTTGCATTTAAAGTTAGCTACCGACTAAGCTCTATAGGAAGTGTTTAGGAATATGATCAGTTTGTGAACTGCTTATGTTGTGTTATATAGCAAGTAGGAAATATTCATTTAATACTGTTCTTATCCTCTGCCTTGTTTTTTTCCAGATAGTTTGCAGCAACACTTCTCATTTTTAAAATATCCTTAGTGTGTCACAGCATGCTGCTTTTCACCCACCCTCTTGTTTGGACAGAGGGAAAGCAAGCAGAGGTTGGAAGTGGTAGTGAGGTGGGCAGAGAGAACAGAGACCCATGGTGATAGTGGTGATAGTGGGTCACTGGCAGCGGGCAGGAGAAACACAAGGGGGTTAGGTCAGAAACAGGAGAGAAATATGAAGCACAATAGAGGCCCAGTGCATGAAATTCTTGCATGGGTAGGGTCCCTAGACTTGGCCAGCAATCAGGGCTTATCTGTGGGGCAACTGGTGGGGCAATTAGGGGCAGGGGTGGGGCCCACTGGCACCCTCCTTGGCTGGCCTGGGACCTGCGGGCTGGGGGCAGCTCCTGCATTGAGTGTCTGCTCCTTGGTGGTCAGTGTGTATCATAGTGACTGGTCATTCCACCAGTCGTTCTGCTGTTTGGTTGATTTACATACTAGGCTTTTCTATAATAATTAAAGTGTAAAATGCTAATTAGACAGATGAATGATCTTCCAGACGTCATTCCAGACGTTCCTCCAGACAAAGCCACAGCAGTGGAGCTGAGGCAGAGGCGGTTAGGGGTGATCAGGCAGGCAGGCAGCGTAGTTAGGGGCAATCAGGTAGGCAGGCAGGCGAGCGGTTAGGAGCCAGTGGTCCCAGATTGAGAGAGGGATGTCTGACTGCCGGTTTAGGGATGTCCTAAACCTGCAGTTGGATATCCCCCAAGGAGTCCTGGATTGTGAGAGGGTGCAGGCCGGGCTGAGGGACACCCCCCACCCCCACCCCACCCCATGCACAAATTTCATGCACCAGACCTCTAGTATTATATAGGATGGTAACCTCTCCTGCAGATTTTACATATAGTTTCCCAAGACCGGGATATTTCTATGAGTTATCTTGATTATATTTTACTATTCACATCTGGGGAGCTAAAGGAGATGGAGAATAGTAGAGAGAGCCTAACTAATCATCTAAACACCCATGAAACTTTAGCCTTTCCCTTAATTTTCCTTCTCTGGTATCCCTTTCACCATTCAAATCTAGTCACTCGTGGTCAAACCACAGCTGTGAATTGAGTGATAGAATCCTGGGTGCAAACTATATATAGCTGAGTAACTTACAGTTTCACCTTACTCTTTTTTTTTTTTTTTTTTTAGTTAGTATGTGGTCTGGGCACTCAGAAGCCCTCTTCCTATCCTCCTAGTCTTGAGGCCCTCTCCTAAGCTGACCCTGGTCATTCTCATGTCTTGATAGTCCTTCAACTCCCAGCCTATCCTGAACCACTTCTCTGAGCTCTCCAGATATTTGGAAAGCAAGGCCCTTACCTCTCATGCCTAGATCTTTTCCCCATGAAGGTTCTCGCACATGTCCCCAGGAGATATATTCAATATGGCATCAATTGTGAGGAGGTTGAGAATCATTATTATAGCTTACTAGAGGCCTAGTACACAACATTCATGCACTTGAGGAGGGAGTGTCCCTCAGCCCAGCCTGCGCCCTCTCACAGCCTGGGAGCCCTCAGGGGATGTCCGACTGATGGCCTGATGGCCTAAGCCATCAGTCGGACATCCTTAGCGCTGCCGCAGAGGCAGGAGAGGCTCCCGCCACTGCTGCTGCATTCGCCAACTGTCAGCCTGTCTTTTGGCTGAGTGGAGCCCCTGCAGGGGGAGCGCACTAACCACCAGGGGGCAGCTCCTGCATTGAGCATCTGCCCCCTTGTGGTCAGTGCGCTTCATAGCAACTGGTCGTTCCACCATTCAGTCGATTTGCATATTACCCTTCTATAGGATAGTATGTTTTTCTCAATAGACGCTTATGTGTAATTGATTCATATATCTAATATTTTCATCAGGCTTTGCTTGAAAAATAAGGGAAGATTAAACTAGATTTTACTCTATATTCTATTCAAAACTATTAGCCCTATGGAATGGTTAAAAATGTTTTGAAAAATAGAAATTTTATTGACTATTATTTTGCCTCTAAGAATTTAGAGCTGCAACCATATATATTTTTTTAAATCTCTTGCCCAGCCAGCGTGGCTCACTGGTTGAGTGTCAACCTCTGAACCAGGAGGTCACGGTTTAATTCCTGCTCAGGGCACATGCCCAGGTTGCAGACTTGATCCCCAGTAGCAGACATGCAGGAGGCAGCTGATCAATGATTCTCTCTCATCATTGATGTTTCTATCTCTCTCTCCCTCTCCCTTCCTCTCTGAAATTAATTTAAAAAATTTTTTTTAATGTTTTTAATCCTTAAAACAGAACACACCCAAAAAATCTCACACACAAAAAAAAATTTTCATAAAATATAATATCTTGAAACCAATGGTGACCATATTTTGAGATGAGATTAAAGAGTCAATAAAGTCTGTACTAAAATCATCATGGCAATTTTTTTTTATTATTATTTCAATTGATCAGCAGCCTAGCCAGGTTCTCCAGCCAGGTTCTGTCGTCATGGCAAATTTTTGAAATAAGCAAGATAATAAATACTTCATTGTAGTGCACATGATTTCTTATTCATCTAAATTTATACAGAAATATTATTAGGCTTATATTACTATTTGCTACAATATAAGTACCAAAACTTAAGCAAAATATGTATTATGTGAAAGAGTACAGTTTACAAACTTACCATCTGCTGGATGCATGGAAATGTTGAATCTTTCTGATGGGTATATGGAAGTTCAATGCAATGGTTTATTTTTCTATATGTTTGAAAATTTCATAACAAATATTTTTGAAAGCAAAGCATTACTTAAAAGAAATTGGTTTTAATCTTCTAAAACACAAATGACTATAAAAGTTTTATTATATAAATATTAAATTCCTACTGTAAATTAAAAATCATGTTATATTAGGGGAGTAATATGCTCAGTATTGCTAGTACATTAAATGTGTGCATGAGGGTGAGGAGGAAACTCTGAACAAAAAACAAAAACAAGAAATAAGATCTAGATAGTGAAAGTGAGAGACCACAGAGATCTAATTCAAGTCAAAGGTAAGTGATGTCAAGTATGATTGAAACCTGTCCCAGTGTGGCCGGAAGGAGTTGTGCACCGGTGCTCCTCACACTCATACAGGTCCTGTGGGGAGAGGCATTGATTCACGACAGCAAAGACTTTCCCTGGAGGAGAGCAGGATTTCCACGTGAGCACAACTGCACAATCAGATTTTTTTTAGAAATATATTTTATTGATTTTACAGAGAAGAAGGGAGAGGGATAGAGAGTTAGAAACATCAATGAGAGAGAAACATCCATCAGCTGCCTCCTACTGGGGATGTGCCCGCAACCAAAGTACATGCCCTTGAATGGAATTGAACCTGGGACCCTTCAGTCCGCAGGCCGAGGCTCTATCTACTGAGCCAAACCGGTTAAGGCACCACAATCAGATTTTCATGTATTTATGTGGATAGTTGTTTTCTCACAGTTCTGAGAGTCTGGAAGTCCGAGATCCGGTGCTGACAGGGTTGGTTTTGGGTGAGACCTCTCTCCATGACTTGCAGACGGGCCTTCTCACTGTGTCCTCACATAGACTTCCCTCTGTGTGGGTGCTGTCCTGGCGCTTCTCCCCCTTCTTCTGAGGACACCTGTTCTGATTAAGCCCCCACCTTTGCGACCTCATGTAACCTTAATTACCTCCTAAAGGACCCTATCTCCAAATACAGCCCCAGTGGGGATTAGGGTCTCAACATAGGAATTTGGGGGATGTAGTTTAGTTAGTGGATAACAGTTTTAAAACATCCCCACCCCCATTAAAAATTTATATTTGGATGTTTATCCCAGGAGTTTAGGGAAAGCATTAAGAATGACAAGAAGATCCCCAGCCGGTTTGGCTCAGTGGACCCACCCAAGGGTGCTGGGTTCAATTCCAGTTAAGGGTGTGTTTCTCTCACATCGGTATTTCTCTCAATCTTTCCCTCTTCCACTCTTTCTAAAAATCAATGGGAAAATATCCTCAGGTGAGGATTTAAAAAAAGAATGACAAGAAGACAATATATTGGTACAATGAACAGTTTTGAACTTCAGAACAAACTCACCCAGCCACCCACTGCTCTCAGTGCGTGGGAGGGGAGCCTTGAAGAATGTTAGTATAAGTGTATGTGCTGGCATGTTAGTCCCTATTGATACGCGAATGGCGAGCTTGGACTCTCATTGTGGGTACTTGTCCTACGACGTTGGAAGAATAAAATTCGTGGACTAAAAGATTTTAATGGGGAGGGGTCCCCAAATGGGGAAAACCTGCCCCACTCTAAAATGGGAAAACCCAATCTTCTGAGTCTCTTTGTCTACGGGTTTATAAATGCTGGAAGCTCTTTGTTCATCCCATTTCCTAATTGGCCCCTTCCTTATTTTATGTCCCCCGTGCTTTCCTAATTGTCCACTGTCCTCCTTATTCCTACAAGGTATCAGTTCCAAAGTTTCAAAGCCCATCGGTACCTCCTCTTCTTCCCCTTCTCTTGTAACATTCTTATAAACAATCTGGCGCCTCTCCCATGGACCCTTTCCTAAAACTGCCTTTCCCGTCTCGAAACTCCTTTCACTACCAGCTTTTCCTGATGTCTTCAAATATTTTATATTAGGATTTTTCCTATAAAGGTTGCACATAACTTTTATATAATTTTACTAAATCTATACATTTTTACATGAAAAGTATAAAATAAGAATAAATTAAATATGGAGTGTTAAAAATCACCAAAGATAGTATAACTTTGAAAATGTTATGATTATATTAATTCATAATTTTGTTCCATTATATCCCATCTAAGCCAATATGAATTTAGCTTGCAGAATAAATATTTAATATTATCTTTCATTTTGGGATACAAACTGATAGTAAAATATGGCCATGTATTTTTATTCTTTAAAGCTCATTTATTTTAAAATGTAGCTTTAGGTGTTTAGGGAGGTACTTTTAGGGTCATACCATGAAGAAGAGTAAAAGCTCATTCATTTGTACCTTACCAAGGCATGGTGCTACATGAATGGTTTAATTTGTTTTGTGATGTGATAAAAGACAAACATTTTGCTAAGTAATTTAATTTTGTGAAAACCTCTTGAAAGGGAATGTTTGAAATTCTTAAAACCATTTCAAGAACATGAAATGAATTAAATTCTGTAATTATGACATTCGTATATACATCTACAGCTAAGTCATGAAGGACCTCCAATACATTCTGGAATTCCTTGCACTGGGAAGTAATAAATTTATATTTTAATTAAAAATGATTTGTACTCCAGCCAAAGTGCTCCTCAGTAGATGAGTGCATAAAAAGCTGTGGTACATTTACATAATGGAATACTATGCAGCTGTAAAAAAAGAAGGACCTCTTACCCTTTGAGACAGTATGGGGGGACCTAGAGAGTATTATGCTAAGGAAATAAGCCAACCAGAGAAAGACAAGTATCACAGGATCTCAACTCGTATGTGTAAGCTAATAAACAAAATAAACTGACAAACAAAATAGATCCAGAGACATGGAAGCATGCAATAGACTGACAAATATCAGAGGGAAAGGTGGTGGGGGAAGAGATTAACCAAAGAATTTATATGCATATATGCATAGCCCACAGATACAGACAATAGTGCTGTAAAGGCCTGGGTAGGGCCAGGAGCAGGTTAGAGGAGGTCAAGGGGAGGGGGAGAGGACATCTGTATATTTCCAACAATAAAGATACATTTTTTTAAATGATTTGTATTCCATAGTTTTTATTGTGCTGTTTCTACCAAGATTATCTAACATGGTCAGATTTATATATTAATGCATTTTTACTACCCTAAAATGTCTTTATCATTTGGGAAAATCATCATGTCCCATTCTAGAGAAACACATATTTCCTTTTCAGATTTTTTTCATACAATGTATCAATGTGTAAGGTGTGTGTGTGTATATACACATATATATGGGAGGGGGGCAGAATTATTTTGTTAGCTTACACCAGGGGTCTTCAAACTTTTTAAACAGGGGGCCAGTTCACTGTCCCTCAAGACCGTTGGAGGGCTGGACTATAGTTAAAAAAAAAACTATGAACAAATTCCTATGCACACTGCACATATCTTATTTTGAAGTAAAAAAACAAAACGGGAACAAATACAGTATTTGTATTTGCATGTGGCCCGCGGGGCCGTAGTTTGAGGACTCCTGGCTTACACTAATCTTACTGTTTGAATACAAATTACTTTTGGTACAAATACAAAAGTTGTTCATTTGCTAGAAACACAGCTCTTGCCAATTGCCTCTAGGAGTAATTTCTCTTTTAATGTGATTTATTTGGCACCAAGAGGTTTCAGTAGTGGCACTTTACTCAGATTTTGATCATAAACGCAAACTGCAATTTCTAGGCACTCTTCTGACTCCTGTGTGAGGCAGTGGCAGTGTCATTAAAATGCCCCTTTTACCTTTTGAGATACAACTAAGATAATTTTCTTTCAATTCTAGGGGACTCATCAACAAAGAAAATATTCCTTCTGGGCTCAGCAACCTTGATGATTGTATTTTGAATGCTCAGGAAGTGGAAAATTTACATGAAAATACTTCTGGCTATATAGGAGAAAGGAGCAAACCTAAACGCCAGAAATCCAGTTCCAAACTTTCTGATCTCAATGAAAATCAAGATTATCTTGTGGTAAGTGAATAATAATTTTATAAGACTTTTACTTGCGACCAATTAGGAAATATCATATTTCTTTTCCTTGCTTTGTAAAAAATGAATAATAATTTCAATCTTGAGTTTTACAAAATTATAAATTATGAATTCTGAAAGAGACCTTAGAGCTACCTGCTATACACACTTGTATTTCATTTTTATAAATATAAAAGGCTGGGAAGGATTATATTCTGCCAAAGGAACCAGAGAGAGAACGAACTTGAGTTCCATATTATTCAAATTGATCTGACTTGTCATTCTTTTGAGCATTTTTAACTTTTATTTTGGGGACAGAATTGTCAGTAATTTGCATTTGTTCTTGTTTTCCACATTCTATTTGTTCTTGTCTATATGAATATGTAAAAAACAAGCTTTAAAAAAAACAACAAAAACAAGCTTTAATGAATGAACTTAAAGCCAGGTGAAAGGAAAATACAAAGCGAAAGAGGATCAACTTTCTTCATGTTCAGAAATTTATTTTCAAATCTATATTCTATCAAGTATTTTCTTCCAAATTAATCAGAAAACCTCCCCCCCTCCCCCAAAAAAAAAAATTAATCTCCTACACAGTTTCCTCAGACCTGAACCTTGGATCGTTAATTTGATATATAAGGTGTTACAAGAGATTTCAGTCAATAACTAAAACATTATATGGTTTAGCAATGAATATATATCATCCTTTTTTGTGTATTCAGTTTCTCTGGAAAGTGAGAACCAAAAGTCTGTCTTCTAATTCTCTTTATTTAAAAAAAATTTTCAAAAAGATATAAAGGGAAGATAGATTGTATAGCATAGCATGAACTGGTGTTCCTAATAAAAACAGGTAATGTACATCCCCACTGTTCGGTGTGTAAATCTTCTTGCTCTCCTTTATCTCTGCCCAGTTGTTAGCTCCATGCTGGGTCCATACATTTAGAAACACTTACGGGCCCCCTATTTTTTTCATTGTCAGTTTCTGCACGTGCTCACAGAAGATTCCAGATTTTGCCCTAAGTAAAATACACATGAATGCAAATCCAGGGAAAGCTTGTTTATTCTATTTTCCCCCAAAATGTCTTGATACTCTGTTTCTAGAAATAAACTGATCAGCTGGAATGAACAGAGAGCAGTCATTTACCTCAGACCTCATCTGCCTCAGTTCTTCAGATAACAAGTATAAGCCCTGGAACCATTCATGACCCAGTAAATGTTATTGAGTATTGACTTAATTCATATTTGGGGGAACAGTAAAGTTTTTTTAAAATCATACTACCTTCATTAGCTCTTTATTTGGCCCATGATTTGCTTATCTGCTGAAGAGAATTACAGTGACTAAAAGTCTGACTCTTGGCTCCTTTGAAAAGAGTGTACTTCTCTGTTTGAATCCCTTTTCACTGAACTGAACCCATCAATAATCTTTTTTTCACCGAGGATAGTGTCTTAAATTATCTAGGTTGTAACAGCTAATAAAAGTGGAAAAATACACTTATTCCTTAGAATATGTATTTGATTGATAAAAACTATGGACACAGTCTTTGTTTAAAAACATTTGGATGGGAAAACCTAATTTCATGTTGGTCTTACTTATGTTCCCACCTTAGTTGCCAGTTTCCACATTCCAGAATTGTGCCTGTCACATGTTAAGTGAGCAAAGTGGACTGTGTCTTTGTTGCAATGAATAACTTAAAATCCTGCCCGTGCAACTTAGAAAAATTTTCCTCATCTATAAAGTGAGGGTATTCTCTAAGATCTTTCCTAACTCTCATATTCCATGAATTTTTAAATCTCATCTTCACAAGTAACCACAAAACTAAGAGCCAGAGAACATAACAGTGACTAGTATTTAGATCACATCCTGAAAGTTAGATTAAGTGCATCTTAACTTCCCACTATTTTTAATCTTCTAATTTTACTTTACCCAACCCTCCTTCACAGTCCTTTTCTACTCCATGTCAAGTTCTTTACCCCCTGACTAAACATTTGTTTCCATAGACTGGGGAAAAGTATTGTGCGTAATTATATGCCTTCGATGTGCCAGCAAGTATCTTGGGGATACGACAGTGAGAAAAGCGGGCAAAACTTGCTGCCCTTATGGAGCCTAACCTTTTAATAGGGAAACAGACAATAATCAAGAAAACAAGTAAAACATAGGCCATATTAGATAGTGATAACTGCTGGAAAGGAAAAAAAAGCAGGGTATGGGGATAGGAATTGTGAGGGGACAAGGGATGCAGTTTTAAATAGCGTAGTCAGAGAAGATATCCCAAGAATTTGACATTTGAGTATAAAGACCTAGAGGAAATGAGGACCAAGCCATAGAAGGACGTACTATAATGGCAGGTGGCAAAGGCCCTGAGGCAGTAATGCATCTGGAATGTTCAAGAAACCACAAAGACATCATCATGGCTGAAAGCGAGCAAAGTGAGAGGTAAAGGGAGAGAGGGCAGACTAAGTAAGGCCTCAGAGATCATTGCAAGACTTTGCCTTTACTCTGGGTGAGGTGAGAATCCACTGGAGGGCCTAGGTGGAATGGTGGTCTGACTTACTGATATTTGGTGTGACTACCTTGAGAATAGACAGTAAGTGGGCAAAAGCAGAGTAACCAAGGCAGGAAGCTATTGCAGTCATCAAGGTTTGAGATGAATGTGGCTTCAACGCAGGTGATACCAGAGCCGGCACGTATCACCTTGCAGGCTGGACAGCGCACTACCTCAGGGAGCACTATTCACATCAACTAGCCCGTGAATGGTCCCGCTGCAGCACTGCATGCTGGAGTCAGGAAGTAGGAGATGGGTTTTGGATACATTTTGAAGGTAGAATTGACATTACCTGTGGGATATGAAAGTAATAGAGGAGTCAAAGAGACTCCAATGTTTCCGGCCTGAACAGCTAGATTTGTGTTGCTAGTCTACTGAAATGGAGGAGACAGAAGTTCGGGAAGTAGTCCGGGGTTCAGTTTTGAACATTTTAGGATTGAACTAATCTAATTTAAATTATCTAATCAACCTAGATAATTTAAGACACCATCCGATATCTCCGAGGAGGGAGGCCAACTGGGTTTCTGGGCCTAGAGCTGAGGGAGGACATCCTGGCTGGAGATACAGTGTGGGAGTCATCAGCAGATGGAGGCTGTTGAAAGCCAGTATCCTGGGTGGGCAACCAAGGGAGCAGTGTGGACAGAAAAGAGGAGTGGCCTCGGGGACTGAGCCTGAGGCGTACCAGCATTGAGAGGATGGGGAGATAAAAAGATACCAGTAGGAAAGCCTTAAAAAGGAGCAACCAGCCAAGGAGAAGAAAAATGAGATGAGTTTGTTGTCTAGGAAGCTAAGTGAAAAGAGGGTCAGATGATGGATCAAATAGAAGGCTGAATACGGCCATTATTAGGATTAGCAAACTGGAGGCCACTTAATAAGAGAGCAATTTTGGTGGAGAGATGGGAGCAAAAGCTATTTTCCACAGAAAATGAGAGGAGAGTAACTGAAGACTGAGTAATCATTTCGCAGTGATCTCACAGCCCACGGCACAGCCAGAGAGGACAGTATGTTGTAGACCTAAAAAAAAAAAAAAAACATCTTGCAGATTTGGAATCTCTGAAGTGGGAACAGTCTGGGCACTTTGACCTTTGTCCTTTCACCTTCCAAGGCTGTCATGGCCGGCAGGGACCAGAGACCACAGACATTTCAGAGCTTGGAAGTTAGTGGCCGTGGGTGACATTAGAGTGTTCTGCCTTATCTCTGTTGCCACAATCTCAACCTTTTCCTCTCCTTAACCCCTAGCTCATGCCTGTGCCCTTCAGTCTCTCTTGGAAACTTGTCTCCTGGTTTACTTTGAAGAGTTAAGACAGCTGGCTGGTGTTTCAGCAAGTTTCCTCCCTCCTGCTGCAAAATTTCTCTACATCTTCACTCATCTTATATTCTTACCTGGTCAAATGATAAAGTGTTTTTTCTAAATTCTAAAGTTAAGATGTATCTTTAGAAATTCTATTTTCTACGTCCATCTCCGCACCCCACTCCCATGTACTAGTATGGTATACACACACCATTGCTTTCTTCATTGGCTCATTTCTGTTGGCCTAGTAAAAGTTTGAATCAAAAGCCATAACTCAGTCATGCATTTTATCCAATAATCCTACCTTTGCTGCTTTGTCTATCATGTAATAGCTATACAAGTGAATATGTTACTCAGTTACTTAGTTCCCTCATCTGTAAAATCTGGGATATTAATACTCTCGGTGTGTGTTTACCTAAATGCAATGAAATATTCTAAACAAAACAAAACAGGAAAAACTGAAAACAGTACATATTTAAATTTCTTTCTTTTTCCCTTGCTCTGATCTCCAGTCTCATTCCTTCATTTTACCATCAGATATTTTGAACAGTCCGTACTTGTTATTTTCAGTTCTTTTCACACTTGCTCATCAACCCCTGTCGTCGGGATTCTACTCGCTTATCTGAAGAGACTGCTCTCTTGGACCGACCTGCAGTTGGAGCTGGCCTTGCAAGGCTTTTGTGCTGTGACGTATGCTTGACCCTTGGCCTCCCTACGGCCTGTGGTGCTTTTGATACTTAGTCCCTTTTTCTCAGAATTCTTTCTCCCTTGGCCTCTGTGATGGTAACCTTGCCTTGTCCTCTTACCACAATGACTGTTTTCTTCTTTGCTGCATTCTTCACAGGCTCATGTCCCACAAAGCAGAGGTGGATGTAAATGTTACCAAGATTTCTGTCTCATCTCTTTTCTACCAGCATTTAATCTGAGAGCTTCTCCACTTCCATAGTGCCAAATGTCACCTCTTTACAAATGACTTCCAAATGAACATTTTTTCCCCAAAATGAACTTTTTTTTTTCAAAAAAATACTGATTTTAGAGAGGGAGAAAGGGAGGCAGAAAGCGAAAAACATCAACATGAGAGAGAGACAACAATCAGTTGCCTCCCAAACACACCCCAACCGAGGATCAAACCGCAACCTAGGCACGTGCCCTGACTGGGAATCTGACCCAGG